AGGAAGGACTCCCTGGAGAAGAGCCTAATGCTGGGAACAATAGATGGCAAAAGAAGAAGGGGACGGCAGAGGATGAGGTGGCTGGATGGAGTCACTGGGGCAGTGGGTGTGGGCTTGGGTGGACTCTGAGGGATGATGGAGGACAGGAGAGCCTGGAGGAATGTTGTCCATGGAGTCGTGATGGGTCGGGCATGACTTTGTGATGAAACAGCAACCATGGGAAAGGCTTCTGTCCTGGGACAGGATGGACCACCTGGGATGGGTTCTCCTGCCTTGAGAACCCTGCCCAGGTGGAGTGGACAACATCAGGTGAGACAGACAAATCCTCTCAGCTGATCTGGGGATAGATGTATGATGCTCCTAAGGAGAGAGAGAAGAAAGCAGTAAGGTTTGTTTAAAAACCAAGTCAAGGAGGGACCGTATTGCCAACTGGGGCATCCCAGGACTGCAAAGGCTGGTATCTGCTCCTCTAAAGGATGGAAGGAGAAATCCTATGGCTCGTCAGTAGCAGTGGAGAGGCCATGGGCTGGGTCGGATTCCTGGATCAGAGTGCTGTGACCTTGGAGTAGGGAGTGGGGGAACCACCCCACCGCCTCTTGCAGCCAACCCAAAAAGAACCACTCAGGCTTGCCTCTGGAGTCAGGAAAACACCCCAAAGACAGGAAGAAGCGGGTGTTTCCTGAGGGTGCACTCAGATATCGCACTTGAAAAGGTAAGTGAGCAAATCTCAAAAGCCACTCCAGAAAAGGGATTCCAAGCCAAACTAAACCTGAGACTCTGTAGCCGTTAGGTCTGTGATTTGGAGAGAAGCAAATGCTACTTAGTTTCTAACTTTAGTCTTTGTTTTTTCCTGCTTCTAGATTACGTTGCCTTGTTCAGCACCAAATGTCACGGATGTGACTTCCCTGTTGAAGCAGGAGATAAATTCATCGAAGCCCTTGGACACACCTGGCATGACACCTGCTTCATTTGTGCTGTAGGTGTCTTTCCTGAGATGGACCGACCGACACCTCTTGGTTGACTTACGGGTGCAGCAAAGATTGTGGCTCAGTTTTTTCAGGACAGCAGCAAGGGAGAAGACGTCACCACCACCACATTCTCTGTGCTGCTTGAATGAAGGGCTTCTGTCCCAGCTCGCTCCACAGGCAGCAGGGGCCGGCAGGAGGTGGGAGGAAGGCAGGTGGCTGCCTTAGGGCTGCAAAGATCAGGCCAGAGCCTGACTCTCTTGCTCTTGTCAGTTCTTTCCCACACTTGGCCCTGGCCAGGAAGCAAACTGAACCGAGCTCAGGTCCTCAAAGGCTCAGTAACGCTAGCAGAATCTTTTTGCAGGGTACGTAATCCTTCGCTCAAGATACACAAAGTATGCAGCTCTTTGTGCAAGATGGGCAAATTACGTAATTATTTGCACACAGTACGCAAAGCCTGCGAGGCAGGTCTGTGGAAGCAGAACTTCGTCTGAACTTGCTTCCTGCCAGACGCCCACAGGAATTCTGGATTTGAGGTGGACATGAGGAAGAGAGAAGGGGGGCTGAAGTTGTGGGAGCCAGGCTGAGGAAATCAGGCAGATTCCCACCCCCAGACTGGATTCCTCACACATCCCTAGGTTGTACATTCAAATGCTTCAGAAACAATGCACTTCATATAGAAAAAACAAGATTGAGTTTCATTTCGAATGGCAGGAAAGCCCAATGCATGCCTTCCAGAAACTTCTTTCCCTCCACAGAGAAATGTGCCCATAAATGTAACACTTCATTTTCCCCTATCCAAGTGAATGGAATCTATTCACTTATATGGAACCCTGGAGAGGCACGGAGTGGGGAACACTTGGTTGTATTTAATGTTCATCTGACTTAAGCCCCATTCATTAAAATGGATCTAACTGAAGTAAGGCTAACACTGGATGCCACCCATGGCAGTGAGTTCTCAGCTCGCTCACAGTCTTTGATGGCCAGTTATTGAGAGAACAAGCTTTGTTCTTCCATTTCTATATCCCCATCTGGATTCTGTTTCATTGTCATGCCAATGGATGAAGATTGATGGACAGGTTTTTTTTCAGATGTAGGACACACACAGCTGGTGACCTAAGTTCAGTTTAATGGGTCAGCATAGAAACAAAAGGCAGATTGAGGCTCAAAGGGTGCACCAACTCAGTATAGCTTATTATGCATATAATACCAGTCCTTAGGACTGATCTTTGCTAAAGAAGGTGATTCCGCTTGAAATGTATGATGCATTTAGTAAAAGTGTTGTGCTTTGCATACCTTTGAAGTTCTCTCTTGCTTCCTGGATCGGTGCCTTCTCCTCATGGGGAGTGCGGTACGTGTGTTACGAGGTGGGCAAACCCCTCCAATCGCAGAACTGGGTCATTTTAAACATTGTAAGCCATCCTGAGATTTTTATTTTATAATTTATACAATAATTTATTTTATGTAATAGGACAGCATATAAAAGCTTTAATAATAATAATAATAATAATAATAATAATAATAATAATAATAATAATAAATGAATTTTACTGAACTCAGGATTCAGCTGCCTATTTTCTCGGATTCTGTTTAACATTTGGTATTCTTCATTTCCAGGTGTGCCATGTGAATTTGGAAGGGCAGCCCTTTTATTCAAAGAAGGATAAGCCGCTGTGCAAGAAGCACGCGCATGCCATCAACGTCTAAAGGAAGAGCGGGAGACTTGACACCAAAGGGAAAAGACGAGGGGTTGACTCAACAAATGAAATATAGATAACTATGGATTTGTCAAGGTGGGGAGGGTCAGGGAATGAATTATGATCACTTCTGAAGCTGAATTCAGTTGCTTTTATATGTGCAGAACTTACTCTTGTACACTTCCTAAAAAAAGTGAACGCATATTCAAAACTTGACAGTTGCTGCAAAGGTTTGAGCAAAACGAACCAAAAAAAAGAAGGAAAAAAAAGAAAAAAATCTAAAAGTAATATATGTAATTACAAATATACATCTATATTGTGTTCACCAGGGCAAACTTTAGGATAACGCTATACAATCATGCTTCAAAAAATGAATATATAGAAACCATTATTGTATTATGATAACAACTCAAAAGTGCCAAAACTTGGTCTGTAGCAATGAGTGAAGTGTTCCTCACAAGCAGACGGAATTGTGTTTCATCATTAACGTCCTAATCATTCATCTTCTGCATACCAGATGTTCTACAGGCTTTATACAATAGAGACATAATGAAAGCACTGCCGCTGGCTTACCCACTTGAGGCTTGAATCCGGGCACATCCAAAGGGCAGTCGCACAGTGGGATGGGGCGTGCTTCCTTTTGGGATGGCCATCGCCATGGTACCCTGGTTAGCTGTATATAGATAGGGAACCCATGCAAGCTGGACCGGCGGCAGGATTCTTCCCTACAGGGAGGTGGCGCCATCTCCCAGTTGGCGTATGTGGCGAAATGTATCACCTCATTGGTTCAACTCATGTGACTGTTTGTCCTCACCTGATTGGAGCAATGGAAGCCCATCCCGAGGAAGCAGTGTGTTTCACACTGCTGGAGGGTCAACTTGCCCTGCTTTGGAAGAATTGGAGCTAAATGCAGCTGTGTTTTGCACACCGCCAGGGCTGCCGCAGGGCCATTGAGGTTGTGATGGGTGTGTGAATATTGGCCCCCTCTGGATGTTTGCCTCCCAAGAAGAAGAGTGGCGACAGGGTGGCGACGGTGTAAGGGAAGCCCATACGGTCAGCTCTGTCCAAACGGTGGTGGTATCCCTATACAGTATCTATCTGAAGATCAATCCTGGAGCCCTGGGGGACAGGCCCATTGGAAGTGGCCCCTGCCAGGCTCTGGGTGCAAGTGAAGGAACGTGTTTTTGGTGGTGGTTGTGAGAAGAGAAAAAGGAGTTAGCTGACAGTAATTCCTGCCGGCAAAGGCAAAGCATCAGAGCACGCGTATCATCAATGAGTTAGAGTGAATCTCATCCACAGGGAACTAGTTTTCTCCAGGTTGAGGTTACATAAGGAAAGAGGAAGAGCTTGAAAGGATCCATGCCGTGTTCATCCGTGTACTTGAGTCGCTTTTTCTCTTACACGTTTGTGCTTTCATCTTGGGGGTTGAGGGAATATCTAGTACAGACCTGCCCAGCCTGGAGTCTTCCAGATGTGTTGGAATACAATGCACATCACCCCAGCTTGCATAGCCATTGGGTGGAAATGACGGGAATTGCAGCCCATCACATTTTGAGGTCTCCAGTTTGGGAAAGTGTGATCTAGAACAAAAATAGAATTGGGAGTAGCCAGGGGAAGGGTGGGTTCCATTCTTATTTTGATGCCTTTGGTGCTGAGGTACCTTGTTTCTGCTAAAACTGATAACCATTCACAGGTGGCCTTGGCCAACAGGCATACCCAGTTGTAAACTGTGATTAGATCCTCTAGATAAAGGCATCTCTGAAGTGTGATTGAGTTTGCTGTCACAAGGAAATAAAGCCTTTGGAGTTCAGAGTGGTATTAGTGCCACTTCCCCCAACCTAGTGCTGGACTATGACTCCCATCATCCTTAGCCAGCTTGCCCATGGTAGGAATTGTAGTTCACCTCTACACCAGGGAAGCCACCAGGTTGGGGGATGCTATATTAGTTCAACACCCTTTTTTCTGTTTTTGAACAAATTTTTAATATCTCAGCAAGTACTTCTTGGAGCTTTCTGTATTGTTGCGACTGGATGCATGTATTTATTCTAGCTATAGGTTTGGATATTTAAACAGTGAGTATCAAGTGATTGTTTTAAATGATAAGGCAGTGGTTCACGTTTGCTCAGAGGAACGTTCTTATCTGTGATCCAAACATGGAAAGATCCACCTTTTCACAGTTGCTCATTTGAGTGAACAAAAAGTTGTAAAGCCGAAGTCATTTACTGCATTACTGGGAACGCTTTATACTCTCTAGCAAGTGGCTTCAGCATTAAACCCTCTGTATTTCTATTTATAATAACATATGCTATTTACTATTCATCGTAGGAAAAAAATCAAAGCTGTTTACCGTTTGAGCCCTGTTGGTGGATATACCCAGTTAAGTGGGTTTTATATTAACAATGCAGTGGCCCAAAAGTCCAGCTGCATGGAAAATATTGGGTCCCTCTTGGAACACTATGCCCTTATTTTAAGAAATATGCAATGTGAAGCTGTATTAAAACTGTTTGGAGAAATGTTGGGCATATATATGCTTTACTATCTAGCTGAAATTAACCGGACATAAAAGTGGTTAACTTTGGCTGGATCCAGGCCTGGTTTTGTTTTGCTTTTTTCTGAGAGGGAAGGGCATACCAAACATTCACATTTCTAGTACTGCAGATTTTGTTCCTTCTACTCAAATCATATTTTGGATAGTTAAGCATAGCTGCCCTTTGCTATAGATGCAAGCATAGCACTTTAATTCTTATGGATCTTGTCATTTTAACAAGGACGGCATTTTATTCTATTGGTGTAATGGGTTATTCGGAAAAAGAACCAGTAGCATTTTAGTCAAACTTTTTGGGGCTTGGTTGTTTTCTCTTTACATTTTTGGAGCTAGTGTCTTAAGGAGAAAATTAGAGCGGCTGGTAGCAGCGAGGTTGACTATGATATGTAGAGTCAACACTGCACAAAGGGTGCTCCACTCCACCGTTTGAGCTGGCACCCTCTACCCGTACTGGGACAGTGAGCGCGCTGGGTCATTCTGCAGCAGAGTGCCAATAAAACCCTACAGTAGATCACGGAAGGACTGTACTGGGAGAAGGCATGGTTGTGATTTATGGGGCTGGTTCACACGATCCAAATAAGCCTTGGTAGGTGATTGGAAGGTTGTCATTCCCTCCAGCAGGTCATGGTACCCGGCTTCAGATGACATGACAAGCTGTGCCCAGGCAGTGGAAATAATACCCAGCATGCACCACCATTTAAATAAGCCACTGTGGCCAGGCAGAGGCTGTTGTGGCAGAATTTTCTGCATAAATACCGGCTCTGCTCTAGTGTAAATGCTCTACTTGGGGGAGCAGTATTATGGGGAAGGGAGACACTCCCTGGAGATCGTGGTTAGTCTTCCGCAATTAGAAAACTGCCATGAAGGAGGAGACAAAGGTCTTCCAGGAGTCCTGTCCTTGCACGTCACACTGTTCATGCAACTGTTTGCATGAACTGTTCTTTGTTACATGCAAGCCTCCCAGAATAGCATCTGCAGTGCTTCCTGCAGCCAAACAGATGCAGGTAGGATCAAGTCTAGTCTTTTAAGAAAAAGAATATGCATACCTAATAGGGCCCAAAGTAGTAAGATGTAGTGGGAAAACACACACTCGGCAGGTTTGGTGATGTGCTGTCTTTGTGATCCTTAACAATTACCTATGTTAATGCTAAAATTATCTTATTACTATTTTGCTTCACCAGAAAGAGTAGTGGCGATTTTTGCCTTTCGTAAAAATCAAACACTGTACCTGTGAATGACCAAATGATAAAAACTGTTAAACCATTTCAGGGGATTTGATTAATTATATCAGTGACATGTAGCCAAACATGGCTGCAATTCTTTTATTTGAACCTGAAATTGTTTAAAACATTCTGGCTGCAATCCACATCCTACTGAATTATGTGGCAAAACTGATCTATTTTAATGGTTCTGGATTGCACCCTCTTTAGTTCGCTTTTAAATCTTTCTGTTTGCCTCAAGGAAAATAAATTTCTGTAACTTGCAATAATTCAGGAAAGAGTTCCACCCAAAACAATTTAGCATTGAACCCTGCAAAATAATCAAGTTTTCAAAAAAATAAAATAAAATCAGTACACGTAAGCACAACTGCACGACTTTGGTCCTTCAGCGGTCAGTAGCTTTGATGAAACGTTTATTTCAGAGCTTTCTCTGTATTCAATAATGGCAGTGTTACAACACACACGACGAATCGCATCTGCTGCAAGGCCGTGGAAGACCCTGTAGTGGATGCAATATGTCATGAAAACAATTGACGGTAGCGTTTACAACTGTGTGATTTCTGCTCCTTAACAACACACCAGGCTTCTTGCTTTTTAAAGATACGAAAATACCGACTTGATGCCACAAGTGACCTTTACTTTTGCTTAGGGTTTTCATTGAATCACCTAGGTTTTTATTTCAGCTGCTCCATGTAATGTGTGATTTTGTGAGGTGTGAGTGACTATACCTTGCATGGATTATTTGTGCCAACACAAATAAAATATTCTACCCCCAACCCCAGAAACCTGTGCAAATTCTTTCCGAACTTAGTCGAGAAGGAAAGGTGATGAATCAGGTATTCTTCAACAGCAGGGAATGCATATCTGAAAGAATCACTCTTCTGTTGCTGAACCATTAGAAGGAGAAAAAGATGCTAATTTGCTTTCTTTATGATTAGGAATAATACCTGCAGTTGGGTCTTGGCCTCATAAAGTCATTTACAATGCAAAACCTTTGTATGTCAGTTCCATTGCAGATAGGTGAATAGGTTCACATTCAGAGTGCCATCACTGAGCGTGGGGAATCACAGCATGGTGAGCCTGTAAGAAACCTGCTGGATGTCGGTAGACCTGGCCACCAAGGTAATACTTGGAACCCAGCCTTGGCCATGACATCTGACCCACCTTCAGAAGCACTGTAATTCTGAATACCAGAAATGCCTGGATGGCCATCCGTTTCCTAGGAACATCTGCATACCTCCTGCTGTAGGTATATGAATTCTGCACTGATCCAGCTGTGCCGTTATCCCAGCAATAAGTATAGGCTAGGCTGAAACAGTAGACTTGCTCTGGCTGCATTTGTAATGCCAATGTATGTGTAATCTACATTTCCCAGAATGCTCATTCATGTTCCAAAATCCTCACCTCCACAGGAACAATGATCAGCTGTGCCTATCAGTGCTGAAGGTATGAAGGCCTCTTCTGATTTGGTGCCAGCACGTAACACCTGTGTGAACCAAGTATTACGGCTCACCCACAGTGCCACACATAAGCAAGTATGTCAGTGTTAATTATTTAGGATCAAGATTAAATTACATAGTTAATCCCTCCCCCACACTAAACTCACAATACAACAGTGTGGAGGGAACAATAGCTCTCTGATGCCTGTGATTAATGAATTGGGTCCCAGCTTCTAAGGAATACATCTGCCCTTTGTTGGGAGAACAGAGGTGGCTTTGGTCGTACGTTCTCCAGGTTGGTCCCCAGAAGAAGAACAGGGAGAGGGGCAGGGAGGGCCTGGGTATGTGCGACATCCCGAGACCGAGGTGAGAAAAGCACTTAACCTGAGACCAGGCTCCCCAGGTGGGAACAACCAAGATGTGCAGCTGGCAGGAGGGGACTTAGAACAAGGGAGTTTCCCAGAGACGGACCAGTTGGCCATGGCTCTTGCTCCCAGGGTGCATTGTCAGCAGAGGGGGGAGGCCCAATTAGAGGATCAGCATGTGGAGGGGAGGTGCGCTTGCTTTCAGGAGGCCCTTTCCAAAGGGGTGGGGCAGACCTGCTCATAAGGAGAGTTCCTGGAGGTATATACTAGATTGGGTTCAACAAATGCTCTGTGCATGCTCAGAGATTCTTTCTGAATCAACAACACTTTGTAAGGAAAAAAGGTCTGTGGCTTTGAATGTGTGAAGGAGGAACCTCAGCTCCTGACCCCTTTCTCCTTTTCCTTTTCAATGTCGCATTAACCTCGCCAACATTTACCAGTTATTTCTTCTATACCAGAAGCTGTAATTTGAGGTGGTTTCAGCAAGTTGCACAGCTGCTTTCCAATTTCAGTAGACCCATCAATATACTGTTCCGCAGTGTACAAACTTCACATTTCCTTAATCTCTTGAATTTTACCCTCTCATCCTATAAACCTTGCCAAAAATAAATAAATAAGTCAGAATTCTTTGGGTCTCTGGATACCAGAGGAGATTAATTTCTGCATAAGAAACATCCAAAGGTTTGGAGCATATGCACAAATTATTCCAGGCATAGAATAGGCTATTTGCTACACAAAACTTGTGTGCCGGGGGGTAGGGTGAAGTTGATTAGAGGTACTTGAGAAAAGGCTGGATTGCTACCTATTTGATCCTGTAGTGGATTCCCTGCCCTTGGAGGGGTTGGACTGGATTATTTTTGTGATCCCTCCAATTCTGTTATTATATGAAGGGTTACAGATACCACATGGAGGCCTACTTTTGACCCATATCTGTTGAGGATGCCAAACTGAAATTAAAGGGTAAACTTTGCAATCACACCTGTTTTGTAAAGAAAAGTAGCTTTGTGGAATCGTTTTGTGCAGAAGCACCCAGGTTCCATACGTTGGTTTGTGAAAGCAATTCTTGAGAACTGAATGTAGTTAAACCCTCATTTTTCATCTTTTATGTAAAAATGCATTTAAACATAATCCACATGTAAAAAGGAATGGGGATACCAAACTTTCCTGAAAATAGTTGGGCTTCTGTTTTCAGTGTCTCTTTTGTCATCAAAGTATAATTTGTTATAAATGAATTAATGGTGAAAGGTTCAGTAATAGCCTTTGGTAAGGAAATAGGAGCAGTGTATAAGGATATCCTTTTTCCGCAGCAGAGTACCCAATACTTTCAATTTTATATGCAGCGGAAGCAATTAATTGTAAGAGAAGCACAGCCAAGCTTCCTGTGACTGCACATGTATCAGGAACTATTGTTTAAGGCACTGAATCATGTGTGGGAGTTATTTAGCTGCTCTGTTGTGATTTTTAAGGTTGGGTGTTTGCAACACTTTATCATCACTATTTCTGGGTCTGTGAGAAGAAGAGTGAGCAGAAGCAAGCATGTATGCATGTGTGGGAATGAGAAGAACTGGATAGTTTGTTTGCAGAGTTTGAGTGGTTGTGGATATGGCAAACTCCACACTACTGTGTTTAACATATTACTGAAATACAAAAATTGCCACATGACATTTATTCTTACTGGTTATAATAATCAATTACACATACTTGTAGAGATATTAAGCAATTTCCATTCTCTTGTGCGGTCAGAACAGCACTTCCCAAGTACCTGAAAGGGCTCCCCGGCAAAGGTTGCAGAACTATAAAACACCTTAAGAATTAAATAAACTTGGAGTGAGGAAAGTCAAAAACAGCCCGAAGAAGACCGAAGAAGCTCAGTAATCACTGAACGCTGCCTGACTTGGGGGTCAAAAAACAGAAGCTCAAGGCAGTGGGCACACAGTGGAGAGCCTGGAAGTCTAAAAGGAAGGACTTTGTGCACCGTGGTTCTCCTGGCTCCCTTCCTTGTCCAGTTACATATTGGGTCACTTTTTAAACAGAGCTTTCAAAAGCAGCTTCTGATAGGGGAGGGCAGCAGGTGGAAGACAATGTTAGGACTAAGAAAACCTGAAAGATGCAGAAAGATCCCCCTGATGGAGACGCGGAGGGGAAGGCTTGGACACTCACCCCGTCCTGCTGAAATAATTCCTTATCACTGGGCCCTGCTCCTTCCCGCCATATTCCCTTCCCTTCTGTAATGTATCTTTCAGATTGTAAGCCTGTAGACAGGGACTGTCTCCTTTTATTGATTATTCTTGATTATTATTCTTGATTTATTGATTCGTCTTGATTTCTTGATTATTATTCTTAATGTGCTAAGGAGCAGGATAAAGTATTTGAAATAAAACCCTGGGCCCAATGCCCTGAAGATGCCTAAAACTATTTAGATCTTAGCCATAGTAGAGAGTTCCATTATTTCAAATATTTAAAATGACAGAAAACCATACAGATGGAACTGAATCTCCTCACACACTATGTTTTTAAAGTGAGTACAATAATTAAGGCATCCACTAATTTGCACAACTGCACCTACAAAATTTTCTCTAAAATAAAACCATTCAGGTGTACTTCCTTAGTAACTAAAATTCTCAGGGATTTTGTCCTGCTTTCAATAGTGAGATTTAGCTTTCATATACAAACATGCCTGATACATTGAAAAATAATTGTTCAATGTTTACAGCACACAGTCAGGTGAAATATTTTTATTTTATTTATTTATATATCTTGCCTTTTTTTTTTCCTTTTGAGGAACTCAAGGTGGTTTATAGAATTTTCTTCCTCCCAATCTTATCCTCACAACAACAACCCTGTGAGGTAGGTTGGGCTGAGAGTCTGTGACTGGCCCAAGTATTTATTAATGCAGAAATAAGAGTCCTGTAGGATCAGGCAAATTTAGACAACAGTGCTAAAAAGACACATCCAAAAAGCCACAGCACTGCTTAAAATGCACGTTTCTTGAATTTCTTTTTCTTACGCCATTTGGATATGGCTTCCCCCATTATAAGCCAAGAGATGACATTTGGGTATTTACATTTGCCTTGCAGATTAAAATGGAATAAGAAGAATGCAAAACTTTTAAAGTTGGGATTCTCATAAAAACAGAAGGAGAGATGCACTGGATCATACCAGTGGGCCATCTCCTCCAGCTGTTTGTTCATACAGTGTGGCGTAAGAGCAGTAGCAACCCAAACACAACATACTTGTGTTTCGCAATGATTGGTGTACACCACACCCTCTCTCTGATACTGGAGGTAACATGTAATTTAGCCTCCATGTATGAATTGATTTAATCTCCTTTTAAAGCCATCCAATTAGAGGTGATCACTCCATCTTGTATTCTTCACTGCAAAAAGTACAGAACTTAAAACAGGGACATCTGGATTCAAATGTCACTTCCCTTGTGCTGTAGCAGGGACCTTGCTACAGCAAGGTCCACCCATCCTGTACAAATCTGAAATAATCATTGTTTACTTTCATTTTCCTGTACTTAGATTTTAATGCTGTTTCGCACACAACAATTTCCCTGCACTGAAGCTCATCTATGTTCAGGAAACTGCGGAACAGAGCGAATGGTGTTTCTGTCAAAAGTTCAACCTCTGATTGACAATGGCAGCACTAAAAAAGAAAGGGAAAGATTTACAACACAGTTTGCAATAGAAAAGGGTTTTTCCCCCTATTCCATTTTCTCCCTGGTATGAAATCTGTAATACGTAATGACATGAAAAAGGGAGGAAAAATGGTAACACACTTCCCCTTCATTGCCCCTTTAGGAAAGGCTTGGTGCTCAGCTGAAATACTCTGCTCTGTTTAGTGCTAGAAGAGGCATAGATCAGAAGCACGCAGTCCATAAAATCCAGTAAAACTGCCGCACCGTGTAGAGAATGGTGTAAAGAACAGAACCAGGAACCCTTCAGCCATGAATTCACAGGACCCAGCCAG